TTCCTGCTTCTTGCCATACTTATATGTGTTTTCTTTCATGTCTGCTTTTTCTTAGTGCTCTTCTAGGTCTAGAACTCACAACTATCTCCCAAAATCCCCTTATTTCAATTCTGCACTTATGGCATCAGTGGACAAAACAGAACTTGTCATTATTCCTGCAAACTAAAGCCAGGCTGGTAACCCCAAGCTCGCAAACTGGCTCCCCACTCCCAGGAGAGAAATCACTGATGCTGGTCAGACACCAAAACAAACAAAAAAGACAACTCTGTCACTAACCAGCAAATCCCTTGGAAAATCCAACACTGCACATTCTGCCCATGAAACACCTCTATTTCCATTTCATTTGTCTTTCCCCCCTTCCTTTTAGTCCTCTTTTCACAGCTTATTTGCTGTGAAAATACTGCTTGTGCTCGTGACAGTAGGGGTGATACCCAAGTGTGGAGCAAGGCCAGGCAGGTGCTGGGAAGGCCCTGGAAATAAAGCTGCTCCTGGCAGGCCTGCAACTGATCCCCTGAGACAATAATTTGTTCTTAACAGCAGGAAGATTCAAGACCCAGAGTGAACAATTGTCCATCCAGCACACGGGTATAAATATTTTCTGTTGAAATAACTTTTTTTTCCCAGCTATAACAATTTTTCTGGTGCTAGCAATGGGGGCAGAGAGACCCCCAGTGGCTGGGTGCCATATAGGCGATCACCCCTCACATCCCCACCACCTCTTGTGCCCCCCGGGGAGGCAGTCAGGAGGGTTTTATGAGGATGAAGGCCAACAAAGCCTTTGGGGCCAGGGAGAACTGCCCCTCTGGGTAAGCCAGGGCAGGACATCACTGTATGTCCCAGTGTCACACTGTGACTGTCCTCAGGGTCCAAACCTGCCCTCTGAAGAGGGTGGCAGTGATCGCAGGGCCAACCAAAATCTGAAAGAATTTTGGTGGCTTGAAACTCTATTTGCAGCAGATAAACTATTTTCCACATAAGAATGCAAGCACATTGGACATACGGCCTGAATATTAATAATTAAAAAGCAAATTATATCAATAACAATAAAATATCAGTGTTGCTTATGATATGCAGATGCAGTGACAGCAAACAGAGCAGCAAGCCAAGCTATTCCCAGTCAAACCAAGACTGGGAACTCCATCTGCCCTGTGATCCAGCCAGGGAATGAGCAGTTTTCACCCAAGGCGCTGCAGCCACAGGAAAAACCAGTGATGCAGCTGAGGCCACAGGATGATGTGAGGTGATAGTTTGCAGGTCCAGAGTGTCCTCTTTGCTGGACATGCACCTGCTGGGATTTTTCCACCCTCCAACAGCAACAGCTCAGCATTCACCACCACACTCCACCTAGACACACCAGGCTGATCAAGAGGAAATACCAACAAGCTGTAGGACAGAGGTGCAGAAAGTCACACTCGCATAACGAAAAGGAGTTTTATCCCGCAGCGAAAAAGCAAAACGTTTTCCTTTTCATCACCAGGAACGTTGTGTTTTCTTTTGAAGCTCCACGGCAGAGCAGGTTTCAGCAGAGGCCACAGGAACCCCTGCTAGGAGGCCAGTCCCACGCAGCAGCACCCCAGGGACCTGCCCTGGCTGCTGGCCCTGCCTGCCCTCAGAGCCTTCATCTCAGAGCTCCACGCCGGCCATAAAACCTCGATCAGCTTTGTTCCAGCCCCACGCTCCTGCAGGGAGAGCTGCGTTTTAATAAACACCACGATAGTTAGAAACAGACTTCTTCAAAGGGCTTGACAAACACGGCTCAGTGCCGGCATCCCAGGGAGCCAGCACAGGCAGTGTTTGTGCAGGTGGGGGCAGGCAGGGGGGAGCCCTGCTGCCTCCCCCGGCGGGTCTGGGTTTCGGGGTGCAGATGAGTTAGGGGACTCCTTAGCTCACCTCCACCTGCTCCCACGAGGCCCCACTCCAGCATCCCACAGGCCACCCCGGGCCACTGTTTTAAGTGACCGCGTGTTGCTTTTGCTCTCCAGGAGAATCCAAACCAGGTGAAGCAGCAGCATCACATCAAACCCCGCTGCTCCCGGGATGGACACACACACAGAGCCCCCTCCCCGCGCCCCCAGCCCGGGCTCGAGCCATAAAAACAACACAACCCCCCCCCGCACCCGGGAACACCCCGCCCCCCCCCG